AGGGTGGTCTAAAGAAGTAAAGTCGGAATTTTAATGCTGTCACCCCCTACGATTGTTCTATATCGAAAAAATATACCCGTATTCTATTATTTTTAAATCAAAAAATATTTAGAGGTCGCTCAATGCTCTCAAAGCTTTCCATGTATTTTAAAAAACTACTTTTCGTAGAAACGGTATAGAATTCTTAAAAAATTATATTTATCGATCGGAAAACTCCGAGTCTCTTCGGGAGACTTCCAATAACAATACCCAATTGTTTATTTTTCAAGTTTTTAATACTAAAGACTTTTTATTGGTCCCCTTATTGCATTTTCTGGGGTTTTTGGGGGACCTATGATATATTGTTACTATGAAAAAATTGTTCAAAAAAACGATTGGATATTATTATTGGGAGTCTCCTAAAGAGAAGCAGACTTTTCCGATTGAAAAATATTGATATAAAATCACAAAAAAATGGGGCACATTTTTTTCAGTATAGAATAATCCTAGGCGGTGAGAGCATAAAAATTCCGACTTTACTTTTTCACATGCATTTTTGGAACACCGTAATGTACATACATATGTGCGAGTTATGAGGGTATAGATTACTCAAACGAGACGAGAATGTTACTCATACGACATGTACTACCTTTCGATTTTAATTTATTACATACTAGCTTTTACCCGCGGGTTTCACCCCACATCTTTATGCAAATATGAAAAATACTTTATGTAACGATGTTATACTCTCTGCTCTAGTTTTACTATAGCCGTGATAGCAGCATATGGTAGGGCAGCTGTATAGCTTGGGTATTATGGAATGAAATGCAATAATAATTGTTTGGCACTGCAGGTGTTTTGTTTAGGTTAAAATATCTCCAATAAATTATATAATAGAAGAAATACTTCTTTCTTACGAATAATAACTATAATATAATTTCACAGCATTTTTTTAATACTTCAAACTAACTATTAACATAAATGCATTTTCCAATACAATTATCATACATTTTATTTTCGATAAAGTTTCGGGTTTGACTTTAAGGCATTCTTGTTTATTGTCATTGCAAAAGCTAAGCGAACTGGAAACTGAGGTCTTTTAAATTCGAAAGGCATATCAAAAGGAATTAAAGGAGTCATCTGACTTGAGGTTCCAAAGTTATGGCTGATAAAAAATTCCACGCCTATATTATGTGTCACGCCCCCATTTACAAACTCATTTATACAAACCTTACTATAAGCACCTACCATTGATATGTTTGCATACCAAATTTTAATTTTATGTGACTTATGGCTCCGAAGTTATGGCTGATTAAAAATTCTACGACTATGACATATGCCACGCCCCCTCCTACAAAGTAATTTATATATACCGTACTATAAGCTTCTACCATAGATTTGTCCGCATACCAAATTTCAAGTTCATGTGACTTATGGCTCCGAAGTTATAGCTGATTAAAAATTTGCAGGCCTATGGGAGGTGCCACGCCCCCTCGCAAAATTGACACCATATTTGCAAACAAAACCATACCTATAACCTTCCCGGGATAAAAACAGATAAGCGTGCAAAGTTTCGTGCGATTCTGTGTAGTGGTTCAAAAGTTATAAGGTAATAAACAAACAGACATTCACATTTATATATATCTGTGTTCGTATGGAAAAGTAGCTTATGTCGAAAGGTTGGCTTTAGTATAAATCGGCATTCGCAGCATACGATTGCGAATGACTCACCGGCTCTAAGCAGTTGAAAAACTTTTGGCAAATAAACGTGCAAGAAATAGTTCCGATACTAGCAAGTCAATATTCTCATCCAAAATTCCTTGTTGTTTAAAGAATAAAGGGAATGCCGTATTATACTAAAGCCAGCCTTTCGACATAAGCTACTTTTCCAAACGAACACAGATATAGATGTATATACATATCCCCTGCAAACCATTTTTTCAGAGTATTCTGAATTGTAGAGAAATTTTAAAGAATTCGTAAAGATCTCATTAGATTTTTTGCCGAATTATCTAAAATTAAATAAACTGTGCACACTTTGATTCTTTTACGAAATTTTGGAAGAAAATCGGTAAAGCAATGAAAATAACGCTGTTATGTGAAGAATTTCTTGCATAATTTTTTAAAAATTGTCTTTATTATTCGTACAGAAATTCCTTTCGTGTCAACCCCTTCATATAATTTTCTTTGAAGATTCGTACAAATCATTACATAAATGAGATACTCCTAAAGATTTCGTTAAGATTTCGAGAACTTTGGTTTGCAGTGTCGTTACCTTAATTCACAAAGGCCTTAAACAACAAAGTTTTTATTTTACAGGAGTAGGCAAAAAACATTATGAAAAGTATATCAAGCACAGGTGGGGGGTTTTTAAAAAGTGGGATGTAACTCCGTCGTTTTTGGTACTAACAACTTAAAATTTTTATCGAAGGTGTATTTTAATACATCTTACCAAAATCTGTGGAAAAAAACGCAGTTTCGAAAAAAGTGTTGGTTTAGGCCTTTGTGAATTAAGGTGACGATATATACAGCGAGACGACGAATAACTGTTACGCATTTTTTTTTTTTTAAATAGTAGGGACCTTCATAGATTTTGCGATGAAAGTATGTTATTGTTAATTTTCCACAGATTTTACTTAAACTTCATTAATTAGTTTTAAAATTTTAATCCTTACTTGCATTGGCCAGCAGTGTAAACTGTGCGCGACATGCGGCACCCAAATGTTTTTCAAATGTATTTTTTCTTAGGCTTTGTATAAAAAGACAAAAAAAAAATATAAAATGTATAGGGTTGGTCGAATGAATGGCCATCCTAGTCGCCAGTTCCGAGTATATTCGATTTTTGAGTATGAGGCCTTTTGTTGCACAAAAGGGGGAGTATAAAGGACTAAAATTAGAGGAAATTAGCCTATGGTTACAGAAGATATGGAATGAATTAACCGACGAAGACTTGCGTGCCGCTTGTGCTTTTCTATCAAAGTGTTTACCGCTGGTAAATCTAAATAAAAATAATATTTAAAAAGTAATTAATGAAACTAAAGTAAAATCAGTGGGAAATTAACAATAAAATACTTTTTTTCGCAAAATCTATTTTTCGAAAAAACTTGGGTAACAGTTGCTCGTCGCCACCTGTATATAAACAAATGTTTTATACTATACTAGCCGGCTTCGTATGCGCGAGGCTTCGCTTCGCGCTGAATGTGTAGATATTAAATAAGATGCGATTGACAACCAAACAGGTTGCGGCCAAGCCCTTTTATTTGACACCTCATTTCCTGTAATTTAACAGCCCACATTTTTTAATTTTTCGCACAGGTTGCAACCCTCTTCGAAAAATAAAACCGTACTTCAAATCGGAAGGTCAAGCCTTTTCCTTTGCATCTCGTTTTTTTTTTTTTAATTGAATGAACTGTGTAAATCTAATGTCATTAACAAAAAAATGCCCTCGCGTATTATACATACATAATTTTTAAATAGGTGGCAACCCCACTCAAGCAAAAATTAAAAACTTATTGAACATGCGGAGACCATCTCCTTTCACTTGGTACCTCAGTTTTTAGTCCAACAAACGGTGAAGATCTTATAATTTTTAAAAAGTGGGAACCCTACTCAAAAAGTAATTCATTATTGAACATCCAAAAGCTGAGCCCTTGCCCTCATTTCTTGTACTCCAATGAACAGTGCGGATCTAGTAAGTTTTTAGACAGGTGGCAACCTTATAGGAATTTAAAGTACTAAAGATAATATTCCTATCGATACAGCTTATACTTAAAAAATCTCGTATAAATCCGTTCTGTATTTTTTGAGATAAGCGTGGCCAAAGTATCTCGACGTTCCTTTATACTATGTATAGAAGATAGCAATTTTTAAATAGGTGGCAAACCTATTAAAAAAATGAAAGCTTTTTTACATGCGAAGGCCAGGCCCTTTTATTTGGTATCTCATTTCGTAATCCAACGAACGGACAAAATCTTTTAACTTTTTAATAGGAGGCAACCCTACTCAGAAAAATAATACATTATTGCACATGTAGAGGCTTAGTCTTTTCGTTTGACAGTGACGGTGCAGAACTGATGCCTACCTTATTGAATATAGTAATTTTCCTTTATACTATGTATAGTTTTACTTATCTCTGTATTGAGTAAAGTAGTTGGATATTCTACACCATCCGGAGGTTTGCAATGAAGGCGCGTTATCGATTGTTTGGTTTGGTGTTCAATTCCCCTGGAGGACCAAAGTGCATATAAACAAAGTTTTAGAAAATACATATTGCACACCATCTTCAAAAGTGACAAAACTCAAAATTTCGCATTTTTGAAATTAAAATTTTTCCCAATTTGTTTTTGTTTTGCATGTTAAATTATGGGAACGATTTTCACATGGAATTGGCGATAGGGCTCATTTTTACATTCTATTACCTCCCATACTAAATTATTGTTATTTACTGAGTAGGTAAAGTTGTGTTTTTATAATAGCCGTACCTTCCATGTCGAAGTATTGTTCTTATCTTGTAACACAAAATTTAATGTGCCTTGGGAGAGAAGACTTTTTAAATATAAAAATTAAAAAAAAAAAAACAAGGTAAAGATGCAGTAACTGAACTTATCAAAAATTCAGTTAATGATACCTAGATGAAATAAAGTTATCAAAATGAAAAAATGTATAGCTTTCACAAATGTATATGTACATATATAAGCAAACTTTTAGAATCTACTTATATTCTATTTTTTACAAAGTTAAGCCATTTTGTAATGCCCCTATGCTAAAATATTAATATTAAAAAAAGAAAATCATTTTGTCCGCTTCGTTACGCTACGTATGGGAATTTATGTATTTAATGAGTCAAATATGCATAAAAATTATGCAAATATTTTTAAAACTGATACCAGCATTGCGGTTGGTCTTCTGAGTAAAAAATAATTAATAAAAAACGTATCACCTATTTTCAGGCATCACATGTGCATACATATTATATTTTTATAGATAATTTACTGATATCAATAAAAATGTTCAAAATTCAGGAAAACTCTATGCCTCGTCAGCCTTTTATTCGCCAGGCTTGCATCCTACGGTGGAAGATCAAGTTGAGCTAGCACGCAGAATTTCAAATTCTTTGAGTGACATAAGCAACCAGAAATCAAAAGGGCAGTCGATGTATGTGAACCGTAAAAAGCGCTCTGTTAAATGGGTGCATGAGGGTTCTGGTCAAGGTAACGAAATCGTTTACACACGTATGTATGTATATACAGCGGTCGGGTAAGGAAGTCGGACTAAGCAAAAATTACACATGTATTTACCTACGCAATTTTTGTGTTTTTAATTTTTTTAATGGTTGAGAAAAGGTTCGAAAAGGGCTCGAGAGTGTTGAAATAACTTATTTTTTTTTAATAGTAAAAAAGTAAAAATCATCTGAAAAAGAGGGGTCCTTATTTTGGAAACTTTGTTCGTGGAAATATTGAGGCTACGCAGTCAAAGCTCAATCTGAGTGAGAAAGTTAATAATTAGTTTAAAGCAGGGGTGCTAAACAAATTTAAGTTAGTGAGCCAAACGACAACAACGTCAATAACAATTGCAGCAACTAACAAATCATCATTGAGCACACAGCTAAGCAAATGCATGCCAACGCGAGGCAGCAGTAAATGAATGTCCCACTTGTTTTTACTGAGTCAACGCTTGTTTTATTTGTTGTAGCTGAGCCAAAGTAAGCCAAAGCAAAGTGATGTTGTTGCGTGCCAACTGAGCCAATTGAGCTATTGGATGAGCACACCTGGTTTAAAGGACACACAATTTTTGAAGAGAGGCCATCTAGACAACCAAAATCGTTGTCGAAAAATATGGTATGCAGCGAATAAAAAAGGCGCCAGACTCGAGCGCTTCTAAACTCACAACGATTAAGGACCGTAATGGACAATCACTAAAACTAATGAAAAAGCCACGTTAAAATAAATAAGTGTTAAAAGATTCGAATAACGAAGAATGATGGGAGATTGAACCCTCGATGTTCGGAAAACTACTCGAATCAATGCCAAGAAAATTTAAAGCAGTGAAGAAAAGTCAAAGCTTACCAAACAATTTTTGCCGCACATTTCCGTAAGAATATATTTTAGGTTATGCGCAATTTAATAAAAATAGCCGAAATCTTTTGGACATGAATTCAGATAACCAATCATATTAAGTCTTCTATGTTCTCAAAATTGAGAGAAAATATGATGAGGTGGAGAAGAGATGCTATTGGGGTTTACCTACCAAGCAAGGGCTCACCCGTTTCGGAATTAGCGCGCTGAGGATCTAAAAAAACCTTGAAAATGTTTCCAAATTGTTTTGGCCCATATACGTCTTACGCGTTTAATACAAAAAAGAAATTTTCAAAGTTTTACTAAGCCTGTTCGACTTCTTTTTTGAGCCACTGTATGCACAAATATATACATACATGTATACAAAAATGTTTATACTCGATGCCAAAAGCACAAGACGGCTATGAGATGGTTCAATAGCTGGCGTGAATCAATTATTTTCGGTATAGTTATTGCATTGCTGGCAGCAAATTCGCTTTTAAGAAATAAATTAATTCACTATGTACTAATATTAACTTCAGACAGACAGTTAATCGAGCTTATCTGCATAACATATCGAGCTTAACTGCATAGCATGTAATTTTACGTACAGATCAAAAATCAGACTTCTACATATGTAATGCTGTGCGTTCGGTAACCACTTACACGCAAAGCTCATTTAACGGATTCCTTATGTGACAACTCTTATGCAATGCCAAGTATGCCAGCCAAATTGAGCCTCAAATCGTAGCTGAGTAAAAAGAGAATCGACTCGATTAAATTTCTGTTTGAATTTAATATAAGGGCGTTATACATACAAATCTACATACTACATTCCATCACAATATCTTATTATACCTATACATGCATACATAAGGTCCATTCAATATAAAAAATTGTTAGAAATTGTTTCTAGTACTTGCAAGTTTTTACTGGAAATGCATTCAATAACCCAAAATATTTGCAAAAAGGAGCGAATTCGAGAGCGTAAAAACCTGAGATAGCCGCAAATTCTTGCAAGTAAAAATTTTACTAGCAGGAATTTGCAGGAGTTAATGAGTAAGGTGATGTTTCAAATTCAAATGTAAAGAAACTGTTGAAGAGGATGGTTTGATGAAACATAATTAATGAAATGAAAATATGGATGAACAATTTAAATCTATTGTATATTTTTTTTTATTTTTATGACGGTGGGAACTATTCCCATTAAAAAGAAAATTGCGCGCCAAAACTCAACCGTCAGAAAGTGTCAAAATGGCTTAAGTTACTAGTTTTGCGTTCAATAACTTTTTCTGAAAATTTTCTCTTGCTCTCAATTTTACTCTCTATTTTTCTTTTACGCTCTCGCTGTAAGTGTTTACTGGAAAGTTATTGAATGGACCTATTGTTAGTAAATCAAATATGGGTTGTCTTCTGCATACAACTATACATACATATGCATGCACACATAAATATATACAGTCGATCTCACTTTAAACGGTTTACTGGGACAGAAAATTTTTCGCGAAAAAAATCGCCTATTAATAACCAAATTTGTGTTCAAATTTGCTTATTTGCTCCTATTTTGCGAAAACTCCGTCATAAAAAAATTCCGAGTTAAAATAACCAGGTCTCCATAACTTGCTGTCTCCATTAGTGATTGTTCATCTGCTGCGATAGATCTCCGGGGAGAAATCGCTTGCGGAGACCGCTCACCGCAATCGCGAGAGATATCGCTTGTGAGCTATCGCAGGCGATTGCCTGTGAAATAGTTAGTTTAACCGCTTTTTTAAATTTGAATTTTTATAAAGTTGTGTGTTTTCTATAAAATATATGCTGAAAACAACGCGGAGTAAGCTATTTTTGCGAATATAGTAATTTCCGTCATGTGGAATGTACTCGTTAGCACTTTTTGAAATGAAATCTTCTGCGATGAAATGCCCAATTATAAAAATTTCTCTTCGACGAGCAATTCGCTTGCGATGAAACTGACAGATCACCTGAGATGGCTGTACGCTATGAACACAAGTAAGAAACTCGAATTTGGGGCAGTGAACAAATTTATTACGTACCTACTTACATATATTTTGCCCGCAGCTTCGCCCGCGTGATGTTTGGTTTAACGAAATCTTTTAAATGTAACAAAGAAGGAAACAAATCATTTCACCACATAAACATAACAACTTTTATTAAAAAAAAGTTAAGCAATTCAAATTAATGACATCTACTGCAATACATTTCGTAAACAACGTTTCGGGACTTATTGTCTTGGGCATGTACCTATATAGATTTTTTGCTCTCGATACACGCGAGAAGCCAACGTAGAATTGTCCGTTACATATTTTCGGAACAACTAACACTCGACAAAAACACGTTAGCCCTCTTTTTAAATAATGTATAATCCATCACATTATCGCATTTGGTACGTATCGCCCCGGCGATATGCCCATAAAATGATTGCTTTTTTAGTTGCTTTCATTTATTGCGCGTATCAAGAATTTTCTAAAACATGTCAACTATAATTAAATTACTTTCTTTTTTTCTTAGATTATAAACGAAATACATCGGAAAAAATCTCGTTGAAAAGACCCCTAGAACAGATTTGTATGAATTTAAAATTTAGTGCAAATCAGTACAGATTTTGAAAAAACAGGACATTAGCTTACTGGTTGAAGAATGAATAAAATCAGTACGAGAGTTAAAAAATCAGTACTATACTGATAAAATAAGTACGTCTGGCAAGCGTAGCTGGGGTTATCTTTTTCATAGCTGCAGGTTTGCATTTTTTAGTATGTCCATGTTCATATAAGGCTTAGGGCCATTTTTCTAAGTACCTTTTTTTATCTTGCCTTTAAACACATTGTTTTCATAATAAAATTTGTGTTCAACATGCAGATAAATTTTAAAACCTACATGAGACAGCGCAATCCAAACAGCATTTGCAAAACGCACTGAAAATAAAACAAAAGGACAAAATCATTATCGCGAACCGCGTTAAAAAAGTAAAACCGCGTAAAAAAGACAACGGGGGATTGTAAAAAACTTCGCGTTAAAAAATCCGTGTTAAAATAAGATCGACTGTACAAATATTTTTACATAAACACATACATTTTTTTTAACACATGCATACATACACGCATTTGCACACACTTCCATGTATCCATTCATAACAAAATCAGGACTCTTCACTCCTATGTAAACATACATACCCATATATTACATATTTACATGTGATATAACTCGTCAGTGTACGACAACAAACTACGTTGTACGTTACGCTTAATAGCCGTCCGAATTTTCTTCTTAGATTTTTATAGTTTATGTTTTACATTTTATATAGTTTATTTTAGATTTTTTAAGTTAACAATTTTTTCCAGTTAGAATTTTATATTAAATTAATTATGTTAGTTGTTATGTAAACTTCTTGGTAAAGTTTTCTTATTTTTATTTTAAATTTTTAATACAAGTTTTAAAACTATTTTTCAAATTTATAGTTTCATTAAGTCAATTAATTTTAGGTTCAGATTGATATATTTTTTTAGTTAAGTTTTTAGGTATCTAATTTTTTCAGTAATTTTGTTTTTAAGTAACATTTTTATGTTTCAAGTTTTTATGTTTACTATTTTTTTTTAGTTTTAAGAATAGATAGGTATTCTAGTTTTCAAATACTAGTAACTTTAGTTTTCATTATAAGTTTCCCAAGTTTCGTTATTTGAATTTTTACGTAATGTTTTTTTAAGTAACTTTTTTCAATTAATCTAAAGTTTTTGGGGTTAAGTGATTTGTTTTTCATTTGAATTATATGTTTGTTTTTTATTTAAAAATTTTTACGTCTAGTTATTTTAGTATTTCTAGTTCCATAAACAATTACAATAATAGACGTCTTCCGTAGTGTGAAGTATTTTTTTAACGCCTTAAAATAGTCTCAAAATCCTTCTACTGACTCTACAATGACAATATGTTGGCAATGCAGATTCGTCTGTCCAGGAGAAAAATTATCAGGAGGAATTCAAAGAAAACAACCTTGCACTTGGTGAAACAACATCGACGACACAAAACTCCTCAACACCAATTCAAGTGCCACTTCGATTGTTAATGAACCCACGTGGCAAAGTTCGTGACATCACCTCAGTGGGTGATTCGTTTAACATCGAAGCTAGCCTTTTGTCGCCCGACAAGTGTGCAGAACTCGTCACAGCCCTACAAACTCAAAAAGGCAAAGGTAAATGCAATTTCAATGTGAAAAACATACACACATTCACATAAATTTTTATGTAAAAAAAATTTTTGTACGGTTAACTTAAATCGTTTTATTGTGATATGGACGTATAAACGCACACCTAGCGGGTTAGGAGCATCTGAACAATATATATAACGTATAAACGCACACCTAGCACTAGACATTTTAGCATGTCATCCGAAATGCGGGTTAGGAGCATCTGAACAATATTACATGTCCGTATAAACACGATCTACGTCGAAACGTTTTGAACAGCTGTTTTTAATTTTTAAATAAATAAATATTTTTATTTTTTATTTTTAAATAAATAAATAAATTAAAATAACAACATAATGGGTATTGGGAAGTATCAAGTACTTTTGAGGCTCGATTTTTTCAGTATCAATTCCTTTAAGGATCGGGTATTTTTCCAAGTACAAATACATTTTTATAAATATACACATATTGACAACATTTCATTGCTTCGTGTAGAAATCTCACAAGCTGGCATTACATCAAATGAATATTATCTGCCGGTTTCACCCATGATACAAAAAAGAAGGTAGTTCCATTGTCATTTTTTCGTCGCCATATTAACAACCTGACAATTAAGTAGATTGTGACATTTCGTGCTACCGTATGCAATATCTAAAATCCTCCAAATTTTATTATTAATTTTTTATCTATTTACAAACTTTTTGTTCTTAGAATCGAAATTTGAACTAGCAAAAGGTATTTTGTTGGGTATGGCTCGGTTTTTGTACAATAATTTTGGGTTGTTGTGTCACAAGACTTAACCCAAAGCAAACAATTTTAACACACACGTGTTGTCAAACAATTAAACGTTAGTTTAAAATAAAAATTTCAAGTTTTCAGATACAAATTTATGAATAAATTCGGTTTGAAATACGGCCCTTCTTGTAAAAATTACAGTGGTCAGCGTAGCCGGAGTTGGACTGATGAGAATTAATTTTGTCTAAGCGCTGCCGAAATTTTACCCTTTACCCAATTTGTTGATGTCTCCGCTCCCCATTCCAAAACCATTGCACAAATAACCGAACGTTTCCCTGTTTGTATTTTAAAGAGAATGCTCAATAAGTTGATAATTGTGTTTCTAGTTTTCATTCTAACAATAAATCACAAATTTTTTATCGCACCAACTCTAATATTGAGTAAAATATATTTTAATTTTATCCAAAGAAACAACGATATTGTCGAAATATACTAGAATTGGATAATACTCACTTCTCTGAAAGTCATGAGGCCTATGGGTCCCAAAGTAAGTTCCGTTTTCACGTTACTTGAAAGACATCGAAATGTCTCTATTATATCAGGAGCAATCGTATCCGATATAGAAAACTGTAATAGTCCTGGCTAGCTACATTGTGTAATAATCAGATGACATAATGACACTTTAAACATTTTAAAATATGTTTACTAAAATTTTATTAATGTAAAAATAAAGATTTTGGCAAGTAGTTATCGAATTTAATGTAAAATTTAAAAGTTTTTAAGATAAGATATTATTTATTTTTAAAAGGTAAATGTTAATACAACTATTTTATTTATACTCCCAAATTTAGGATATAAAAACCCCTCTACCAAAAAACTTAAATTGGGTAACGCCGCTTCGATTTTTTACAATTGAGCAATTGTCAAAAATGTCCTTTTTAATCAAAAAGTTGTTTATTGAAACTACCTTCTTTTTTGTATCATGGTTTCACCGACACTTTAAGTGTAAACTAATTTTTTCTTTCTGACAGTTTTCATATTAAATTCAAATCAAAAAGGTGAAATTAAATTGCTTTCGTGTAGCTGTCTATAAGTTATTTTTACATATGTATATATGTTCATTTTATTCTATGTAAGTAAGTTTCGGCTAACTGTACTGTGTACAAGTATTGCACTTTTCAAAACTTGAAATTGGGTACAATCTTTTCTGAAAACCAGTAAATCTAAATAGTATCTTTGCATTCGACACTTACTACTGAGAACGTGAATTCGAACTTGAGTACATGTATCAGATTAATGATTTGTACAAATTATTTTTGAGTAGTGAGTAATTCCAAGTACTTTAAAGTACTCAGTATCGATACTTTTAAAAATGCGGGTACTGGCGATCCTTTTGAGAATCGAGTTCTGAGTACTTTTGGTATGGATACTGCCCAACACTAAAAATAATATACCTTACGTAATTACTCTAAATGGAGTTCAGCAACTCAAGAATTGGTGTTTTACTATAATCTGAATTCTCGTAGTGAACGTACGGGGAGAACACCATTATATGTAAGTATGGTCACAATATCTTAATTATTCTTCTTTAATGATGAGTGACTTACGTCGTTTTCGTACGTCGAGAGAGGACTTTACTCCTGAATTGCCTAATCAGCCCAAAGTAGCACTTGTTGGCAAAAGTGATTCTCCATTGGATTTCAAGGCCGACATTAGGCAGCCTGAAATTGTGCATATGGAAACTGTGCTTACGAAATAATGCAGATGAAAAAAACCGAAATAATGCATACGAAAAAAACCGAAATAATTCATATGAAAAAACCCGAAATAATGCTTATATGCACAGTTTCGGTTGAAAACCGCAATAATGCATATTAGAAAAACCGAAATTATGCATATGCACTCTTTCGTTTGAAAACCGAAATAATGCATATGAAAAAACCGAAATAATGCATATATGCGCAGTTTTGGTTGAAAACCGAACTAATGCATATGAAAATACCGAAATAATGCATACATGCGCACTTTCGTTTGAAACCCGAAATAACGCATATGAGAAAAACGAAGTAATGCATACATGCACAGTTTCGGTTCAAAACCGAAATAATGCATATGACAAAAACCGAAGTAATGCATACATGCACAGTTTCGACTCAAAACCGAAGTAATGCATATGACAAAAACCGAAATAGTGCATACATGAAAACGAACTTCTTTCTGAGTAGGCGGCCTTCGGCCGCGCTTAGGGATTATAACCCTTACTAAGTAGAACTCTCCTTTCTGTGTTGCCGGAAAAGCAGGGCGGAAGTATTTTTGCGCAGAACTTCTCTCTGCGTAGGCGGCATTAGGGATTACCTAGGGATTATAACCCTTACTAAGTAGAAGTAAATAATTCATATTAGAAAGAACGAAATTATCCATATGCACACTTTCGTTAGAAAACCGAAAAAATGCATATAACAAAAACCGAAATAATGCATATGGCAAAAACCGAAATAAAGCATACATGCACAGTTTCGAATGAAAACCGAAATAATGCAGATGTGAAAGACGAAGGTATGCATACATGCACAGTTTCGGTTGAAAACCGAAATAATGCATATAACAAAAACCGAAATAATGCATGCATGCACAGTTTCGGTTGAAAACCGAAATAATGCATATAAAAACCCGAAGTAATGCATACATGCACAGTTTCGGTTGAAAACCGAAATAATGCATATGAGAAAATACCGAAAGTATGCATATGCATACTTTCGTTTTAAAAGCGAAATAATGCAAATGAAAAACAAAACGAAGTAATGCATACATGCACAGTTTCGGTTGAAAACCGAAATAATGCATATGGCAAAAACCGAAATAAAGCATACATGCACAGTTTCGGTTGAAACCGAAATAATGTCTAAATGCATAGTTTCCACATGCGCAATTTCGGTGCCCCTGACTTTATTATTGGTGTTAGTGCTGGTTGCCAAATAAACGAAGTCGTCTACTTTTTCAAACTTGTAACTGTCAACAGTGACGTGGGTGCCAAAACGCGTATGCTCTGACTATTTGTGTGATGACAGGAGATACTTCTTTTTGTCCTCGTTCACCACCAGACCCATTCGCTTTGCTTCTCTATCTAATCCCGAGAAGGCAGAACAGACGTAGCGCTTGTTTGTACCGATAATATCGATGTCGCCGGCATACGCCAGCAATTGTAAGCTCTTGTAAAGTATTGTGCCTGAGCGGTTCAGTTCTGCGGCTCTTATTATCTTCTCCAACATAAGATTAAAGAAATCACACGAAAGGGAGTCCCCTTGTCTGAAACCTCGTTTGGTATCAAACGGCTCGGAGAGGTCCTTCCCTATTCTGACGGAGCTGGGGGTATTGCTCAACGTCATTTTACATAGCCGTATTAGTTTCGCGGGGATACCAAATTCAGACATCGCGGCATAAAGGCAACTTGTCTTCGTGCTGTCGAAAGCGGCTTTGAAATCGACAAATAGATGGTGTATGTCAATCCTATTCTCGCGGGTCTTTTCCAAGATTTCGCGTATTGTGAATACCTGATCTGTGGTGGATTTTCCAGGCCTAAAGCCACACTGATAAGGTCCAATCAGTTCGTTGACGGTGGGCTTCAGTCCTTCGCACAATACTCTCGATAAGACCTTATAACCATTTTTTAAATGGAATAAACAGTGACTTGAGACATGAATTCTTGTCACACGCATTGCTTCAAAGATTACACGTGGCCTATCCTCTTACTTCTTTATAAATTCCTCGGGAATATAGCAAACACCTCATGACCAAGAAGTTGCGCCAATCAACTTCAATTTTAGATTTAGTTTACAGCATGTACCATAAATTATATCCTTTGCTCTTCCTTCTATCCGACAATTAGCAGAAGAATCACAGATAGCAAGTACTTTAAGGGCTATATGTTGAAAGCTCAACCCCTAGGCGATAACGCATCAGTTGATGACGATGATAATGATGAAGAAGGTAATGTTTTGAAATATCTTCAATAAAAAACTTTTATTACACCGTGCTTCAGTAAATTTAACACACAAAAAAATTAACATATTTGTGAAGCTATGGTTAAATTAAATAAAACTGTGTACTAATTTTTTCTCTCTGACGTCAGGATTTTTTTTTAGAGAACTTTGAAATTTAAAAAATATGATTATTTAAAATATTCAGTGGAATGTAGGATTACAGTAAGGGTATCATATGAAAGAAAAAACTGTGTATGTTTATAATATAATTAATTTTTCAGTGCATAAGGA